ATTCTATCTCCCTTACATTTGTGCTATTTCGGAGAACCCCAGAGTCAAGATGGAATGGAGGCATGACCTTCATCATCATTTAAGCAGAGGAAGCGCTTATCAAATAGACTTGCTGAGGACACTAGTAAATTATATGGATAACAGCAAAGCTGTCTGGTTGAAGTGGGGTTGGTCTAAGTCCCCCCCAACTTCTCCACAGCTCAGCTAATTCTTTCCCTTCTAAGATTGTTCCTGGATAGGGGGTCTATACAGAGCCACCAGAGATATGAGACCACAGTTTGCAAACTCTCTCATTCTATAGATAAGGACACTGAGGCCCAGGAAAGTATGGTGATTTGCCCAAAGTCACACAGCTTCTATGTGGCAAATCTAAGGCTCAAATCCAGATCTTCCTGCACCCACTCAGGTCAAAGCTCTTCCTACTAAATCATATTTACCTCCAGTCCTTCTTGTCCAAGTTTCCAGGCTTCAACCACTAGCTGAATTCCCACCTTCTTTGTGACGGCTTACCTGATGTCATGCTAATTGCCGATTTCTTAGATTCCACTAATTCTTACTGCCTGGGCCTCTCACCAGGCACTCCATCACTTCCTTTACCATTTTTACTTTTTATCTTCTTTCTTCAAGATTTAAAACTCCTATGGGTTAATCCCCTTTATCTACTTCTGAATATCCCAGAAAATACCACAGGCACTCCTGGAATACTGCCCATAAATAATGGTTGAAACTGTGAGTAGCAGAGACTTTAATTGTTCACCAATATCCATTCTTTCATTATTCCTTTTATTAAAAGCATCCAGGGGCACCTGAGTGGCTCAGTTGGTTGAGCATCTGACTCTTCATCATGCCTCAGTTCATGATCTCACAGTTGATGGGCTCGAGCCCCTTGTCGGGATTTGTACTGACAGTGCAGAGCCTGCTTGGGATTCTCTCCCTCTCTCTCTGCTCCTCCCCCACTCACACACGTGTGTGTATGTGCATTCTTTCTCTCTCCCTCTCTCAAAATAAATAAATACACATTTAAAAGCATCCAAATTTAGCTGAATATATGGCTGCTGGCTAGAAATTACGTTTTTCCAGCCTCTCTTGCAACCAAGTATGGCCATGTGACTAAGTTGTGGCTAATGAAATGTGAATAGAAGTAACGCATGCAACTTCCAGGTTATTTTCTTAAAAAGGACACTGCTTGCCTTCCTCTTTACCAAAGGAGGTTGGTCTTCTTTCCCCTTGGACTCGGCTGAGGTGGTAAAACAGCTCAACCAGGTAGAAGAGGGCAATAGTCGATGAGATAATGGAGCCATAAGATATAAGAAACATCAGTGCTCAGATAACTTCATGAAGCAAAACCACCCTGATCTGCCCACCTACCTCTCAACTCTTATCAGAAAGATAAATAAATGTTTATCTTTTAGAGTCTCTTGTCACAGCAGCTCACCATGTTCCTTAGCTAAAATAATGCGACTATAATAACATCTGCCATCCCAAACCATAAGAGACTCTTAAAAACAGAGAACAAACTGAGGGTTGCTGGAGGGGAGGTGGGCAGGGGGATGGGCTAAATGGGTGATGGGTATTAAGGAAGGCACTTGTGATGAGCACTGGGCATTATATGTAAGTGATGAATCACTAAATTCTACTCCTGAAATCATTATTACACTATATGTTAACTAACTTGGACTTAAATAAAAATTAAAAATAAAAAAAAAGTTCATGCTACCCAAAAAAAGGATTATTGTCAAATGTGTTCCCAATTCCAGTCCTCAGAATGATACTGAAATACATGATAAAGTGTGTTTCCTTGTTAGCATCAAAAAATATCTGCCATCCCAGTTCCCACTTGGTAACATATTGCAGTACATCTTGTAAAGTATTAAGTAAACTTCTTATATAAAATATTATTAGACCTAAAAGAGAGAAGACCCATTACATGTGTGTTTAACTCCTATAATAAAATGTGAATGCCTATCATATGCAAGGGAGTTGATATTGAGCGCAAACATTCTCAGGCACTGTGTCACCGGTGTCATCTCATTCCATCAGCCAGTAATCCCATGAAGTGAGTATTTTCATTCACATATCAATGTGGGGAAACAAACACAGGAGCCTAACTCCCCTGTGCACTTTGATTTCACCCTGTAAGCAGTTAGCTTATTCATTCCCAGGCATCCCTATCCCAGAGCTTGTGCTCTCTCATCCTGTTTCCAAGGCTCAGCATCTGTGGCTACTGCCCAGCAGGGCCTCACAGCCCATGTGAGGACAGACTCACAAGGAATGAACTCCACCAAAAGACAGAATGGCAGGAGTGCTACTTTAGAGGCCTAACCAACACGATTCAGGGGTGTTCAAGGAAGGAGTGATCAATTCTAACCTAGAGCATCCAAGGGCTCCAGGGAGGGATTTTTGCAGAGAAATTCCATTTGCACTAACCTTTGAGAAATTAGTAAAAGTGGATAAACAGTGCAGAGAGAAAGACATGACCAGCTGAGGGACCAGCATGAACAAAGACAGGAAAGTAGAATATGTGTAGAAAATGACAAGCGGCCATGTGTATGGATTGTGAGGGGCTTTGCGGGAGGAGACGGGGCTGAAAGTCAGGCCAGGGCCAGAGCAGAGAAGACCTTGTGTTCCAGGATAAAGCTATCGATGCTGCTTTTTAGGCAACAAGGAATCACAGATGTTTGAGGAGGAGTGTCATGTAACCCAGTGCGTGTGCCAGCATGAAGGAACAGGCAAGAGAAAAGGCTGAGCACTCAGGCTACTGCAGAGCCATCCAGGCAACAGCTGATGAGGGCCTGAACAGAAGGCAGTGCGCAGACGTGGGAGATGCTGCCTGGATGTGGGGACGTGCACCAGCTCTCTAAATCTGAGCAGCCAGTGACAAGCCTGATACTAGAGTCTCTTTACAAAACTAGCTACAATCTTCATCTCCAATTTTCCACTCAAATTACCTTTTTTCTGTTTTCACTTTCAGTTAAGAGGGTTTCTTTGGAGGCTGTGGGTGGGGAGGGGGAGGGGGATGTATTACACTTAAGATAAAGCAACAGTAAAGGCCCTGGAGCCCATCACCCCCACAGCAGCACACGCAGGGCCACAGCTCTCTCTTGAGTGGCATTCAGTTCCAGCCACGTCCCTCATTTTAAAAAAAAATTTTTTTTGATGTTTATATTTATTTTTGAAGGAAAGAGAGACAGAGCGTGAGGGGGGAGGGGCAGAGAGAGAGGGAGATACAGAATCCAAAGCAGGATCCAGGCTCTGAGCTGTCAGCACAGAGCCCCACGTCCGGCTCAAACCTGTAAACCACGAGATCATGACCTGAGCAGAAGTCGGAGGCTTAACGGACTGAGCCACACAGGCGCCCCTCCACCCCCCTCATTGTAAGTTACACTCCCCACCAACACACATACAAAATAAATTTCAGTGTCACACACCTCTCAGCTTGTCAGTGTGCAGTGTGCCTGTTTTCTGGCTTATGTGCTCTTGGGGAAATGGTTGAGCTTCCTAGCAGACAACAATGGTATACAGTAAGAGTCCTAAGGAAAACCCTCAGAGCAAATTTCTTGGGAGCTGTAAGGCAAAGGGTGAGGCGGTAAGCAGTGATGGAAAGTGTGTGTATAACCCTGTACCCTCTTACCCCCACACACAGCGAGGTTTCTCTTTCATGATTGTTTTAGCCTCTTTTTCCTTTCCAACCACCGACCACTCAATTCTTTGAGGGAAAATTAACATTCATTATGCAATTTATCTCTCTCCTTTTAATCCGGAGTGTCTGTCTCCAAGGTCCCTACTCAATAATTAATGTTTGTTCTCATTTCCCATTCTCCAGAGCATCTATTCTTGAACTGTAGGGTCAACAATTAACACTAATTATGGCTTTTCCTCTCTCCAGTGTTGGTTCTCAGAATCCCAAGTTGCGCTGCTCAGCCTAAGTTGTGTGTGTGTGTGCGGCTGTGTGTGTGTACTTGAGAGGTGGAAAAACACCAAGGAACAGGCTTTTCCAAGCCCACCACAGTTTAGCAAATCAATAAAAACAAACATTCTTTTTTGGCACCCTCTCTAGTTTATTATCAGTAATGAGACAAAGAAGCATAAATACATACATACACATATATTTGGAAATGAGTCTGGAGGGGGACGGTTAGAAGATTTCAAAATACTTTCCAGTTGGAATTTTCTATGATTCCTTCTGACTTTTTCCTCCGTATTGTTACCTCCTCAATATCACAAACCCGCCCTGCCCCACCCCCATACCCACCCCCCAAATTTCCCATTAAAAACTGTTCTTCCATTTCAGATCCACTCAGTTGACCCCTTTGCAATCCATTACCACCACCACCCCTTAATTTTCCTTCTCTGGTCTGTCATCCAAATTCTCCTCATCCATTAAAACAGCATTGCTTCAACGAGTTTTCATTTTGACTGACAAGGACAGCCAGAAGAATAATTTTTGCCCAAGGTAACTTTAAGAGATTGCAAAAAAAAGAATCATGAGGGCTGTGCAAAAGCCTGTCTGTCTTCTTGGCTGGAATCAGATGGGTTAGAATCCCCCCCGACTCCCCTGGTCCAACCCTTGTATTTGCACTACAGCTGCAGGCTGGGGCTCCTCACGCTTGTCTGTCATCCCCCCATTGCTGCACGCTCTGGGGCCCCATAGCACATCTGCTGTTCAAATCTGGGCATCTCCTCACAGCATGTGTCAAGCATTAACTGTTTCATGCTCTTGCTCTGTAAAAAGTTTTCCTCTCAGAATTTCAGCATCATGGTCCCTACAGGATTTCACTCTTAAACATCTTCAATAAAAGTATTATTTTCTTCAGCACTTTTTAAATCCCAGATCAACCTTCTCTCCATGATAGCACCAACAGATTTTTTTAAACCATTCAGTTTATTATGAGGCTTAAGCATCAAAGCCTCCACTTGGTTTTCCCTTGTCTTGAGGTAAGAAAAATAGCTTTTTTCAAGACTTTTTCACACTCACAGGTAAAACCCTTATTGTTTTTCAGCCTATGAATCTATCAATTCAAATACCAGCCATGAAAAGGAGGGGTCTAGTATTCAACACCTCCTAAAAGGTAAGCTTTTCCTCTAAAAAGGTCACTTCTAGGGGCACCTGGGTGGCTGAGTTGGTTAAACATCCAACTTCAGCTCAGGTCATGATCTCACGGTTTGTGAGTTCAAGCCCCATATCAGGCTCTGTGCTGACAGCTCAGAGCCTGGAGCCAGCTTCAGATTCTGTGTCCCCTCTCTCTCTGCCCCTCCTCTGCTCGCGCTCTGTCTCTCTTCTCTCTCTCAAAAATAAATAAACTTAAAAAAAAAAAAAAGGTCAGGGCGCCTGGGTGGCTTAGTCGGTTAAGTGTCCAACTTCAGCTCAGGTCATGATCTCACGGTTCATGAGTTTGAGGCCCGCCTCAGGCTCTGTGCTGACAGCTCAGAGCCTGGAACCTGCTTTGGATTCTGTGTCTCCCTCTTTCTTTGCCCCTACCCCGCTCACGCTGTCTCTCTCTGTCTCTCAAAAATAAATAAATGTTAAAAACAACTTTTTAAAAAAGGTCACCTCTACTTCTCTTCTATGTCATTTGACTCCCATACATATTATTTGATACCGAGACCTCCAGAAACACACAATTTCTCCCCAAATATAGCAATAAGTAGGAAAGAGGATTCACTTCTTGGAGAGCCTGAGAAATGTGGTGTCCTCATCAGTTATGCATGGGCAACACTGTGTGCTGTGGTCTGAGTGTAAATCTTAGGGGAGAAGAGAAGCTGAACCAAGTGCTTGTACTTGGCTGGCCCAGGAAGGGAAATCTGCAAGGATGCCCTGTAGGTTCTGCAGGTCACACACTGCACAATTCACATTATGATGAGGTAGACATTGCCCCTCGCTTTGTGCTCAGCCTGCACAACTACAAATGAGGAAACTTTGAAAAATGCTCCCAGGCATGTTTTTTTTTTTTTTTTTTTTTGGTTTTTTGTTTTTTTTAAGAGAGAGAGAGGGTGCAAGTGAATGAGGGGCAGAGAGAGAGAGAACCCCAGGAGGGACAAAGAGAAAGAATCGGGGCTTAAGCATACAAACTGTGAGATCATGACTTAAGCTGAAGTCAGATGCTTAATGACTCAGCCACCTAGGCCCCCACTCAGGCATGTTTTCTAAATGGAGGACTGAGGCCAGCACTACCTCTTCCAAGCTTCCTTTCATACTTCACTCCCCCCCATGCAGAAAGAAGCCAAAACGAGAAGTGTAGGCTGACTTTGCAGCTCATCCTCCACCTACCACCATTGCTGCTTCTGCTTCAGACCAGGGGTAAATGATGATTATGTAGAGACCGCCTCTCTCTCCCCAAAATTGTCTTTGATTAATAGAGAAATGTGTATGGTCTTCCTCACTGCTTATTTGGGGACAGGCAGCAATGAATCTCCAATGAAGGACCTGCTATAGTGACAGGAAGCAATGCCACAGATGGTTTGCTGGAGCCAGAGCTGGGGGGAGGGAATTGGTTTTGCCAGACACCACAAGACTAAAAGGAGAGAAGGCACAATCATATGCTTGCCAATCCCAAAATCTGTAAGCAGAGAATACTTGAGAGCCTGGCTTTCTGCATTACCCTTCCTGCCATTCTCCTTGGATGGACATGCTGACCATGGTAGGAAGTTTCAGTGTCAGTTCTGTTCATTCTCACTTATTAGTTGGAACTGGGCCAGAGCAGCTCTTAATAGGAGCTCTCTAGTGAATGATGATGGTGATGGTGGAGATGATAGGTACCACTGTTATCTCTCTTTGATATGCCAAGCACTGTGCTGAATGCTTTACATTCATTATTTCACTTCATCCTCACACCAATGATAGGAGGTAAATTCTATCATTATCTTCATTTTTCATCTAGGACAACGTGGCTCAGAGAGGTTAAGTGACTTGCCTAAGGTCACACACTAAATGGAGAAGCTGTGATTGGAAGCCAAGAACCCTTCCTTTTTTACCACGATGCAGGGGTAGTGGTGATATCAATCTAAATAGGCATGTTGCCATCTGACAGTATGGAGAGTTTAGGAAATTACTGACCTAACAACCCCTATAAATAAATGGTTTTTGTTACACATCCTTTTATTCCTCCAATTTCCCTTACTCAGCATCAGACACCCTTTTGTGGGTAACAGTGAAAATGATTTACAACTTTCAGAGACATGGGGAGGACAGAAGCTGAATAAAAGTAGGAATAGGTTGGGAGAACCAAACTCTTGAGACAGATTTTCAAGTAAGATAGGCCATTTACAGAGCAGCTCTCCAGACCAGAATCATTCTTCCTAATACGGCCAAAAATGTTATAATTTCATTTCACTCTGCTATTGAAAATCTTACTAGGCTCACTTTGAATTCAGAAGTATTCTCTTATAAGGTTGACACTTCTGAGAAGCTATAGTCATTTACACTTTAGTAAAAATTTATTTGATCAGATGGCTGTCCTCTTGCAACCTAGCTGAGAACAGCTGCTCTGAAGGACTAAAAATTCTGACAGGGGTTAAAACAGAGGTGGGTAATTTGAAGGTAAAGAGTGTTTTAAGAATTGAAACATTCCTAACTGGTGGGTTGCCCTGGAGAGCTTGGATGAACAGAAGGACATTAGCTATATGAGGAGAAGGCCCAAAAAGAAAAGTACAGAAAGGGAAATAGTAGAGTGCCAAAGACAAATTTAGACTATTTCAGAATTGCTCCATGGCAAGCTTTATATCCATGAAAGGGAAAGAAAACTTATTTCCTCTCTTCTCTACTCCTAGTAACTAAAAGATCTTAGGCTAATGCAAATCTCTTTCTTATCTCCAAGCTTTTGAACATACTGTTGCCTCTGCCTGGAATACAATTCCTCATCTCCTCCTATCTCCTGTCATTTTTAAAAACTGTGGTAAAATACATACAACCTAAAATTTACCACCTTAATGATTTTTACATGTGCCATTCACATTGTTAAGTAGATTCACATTGTTGTGCAACCAATCTCTAGAACTCTTTTCTTCTTGCAAAACTGAAATGCTATACCCATTAAATAACAACTCTCTATTCTAATAGGACTGCAGATATAAGCACCTCTTTCAGGGCTTAGATGTAGGAACCATATTTGTTCCTTTGATTTGCTCAATGACCTTAACAAACAATTCTTGCATCTCTTTGTGCGTGACATTCCCCATTTGCTTTTAAGTAAATGGATATAACACTACTTTGAAAATACTTGATACTCCCTGGAATTGAGTTCAAAGAGCACTTTAAGACATCTATTCATTAGAATCACCTGTAGATCTTTCACAACTTTTTGTTTTCTTTTTGGTCATTTGGTTTTAATGAATATTTTCAGGAAAAAATGATATGATTCTAAAAAATTATGTAGATGGTGGAACTTGGGTATTTGTGGACTGGAAGTTCAGTTTCAACTATTGCAAATGACTTCACAAATCAGGGACACATACACTATGTCATCTTACAGAGGCATGAAGTCAAATCATAGACATTTTGAAGCTGGAAAACAGAAGACCATCACTAAGCTAGTGAGTGAACCTAGCCCTCCTCTGAGTACCCACATCTCACTGCTGTGATCCATGTTTATTATAACACCTGCAATTACTCTTGAGAAGTTATTTTTCAAAAAGAACACTGATTTTTTCATATAAATATTTTTTAATGGCCCGAAAAAGAAGGCCAGCTCCTTGGGCTGGTAATGAGCGTAAGAGAAAGTAAAGTGGTTTAACATTTTGATGATTCTCTGCCAAGAAAACAGTTTTATAAATCACTCTAATGCTTTATTTATAGACTCATTAAGAGCTTGAAAAACTCCCCCTCATTTTTCATTTATACTTTAGTTTTATTGGGGATATGATATACACTAGGGGTATTCACAAAACTAAGGATTCTTGAAATTCGTGGAATGTGTCCCTCCCAGGTAGCCAGAATCTGCTATTCACTTAGCGTATAATATGTACAAGGGATCAGGGCCTTGCTCAAGCAGTGAAGTAGTGCTTAGCACAATGCATTTTAAGGCTGGTGTGGATTTTAATGTGTGTATGTGTGTGTGTGTGTGTGTGTGTGTGTGTGTGTGTATCAGTTATATTTCTCAACCTATAAAGTTTATGTTTTCTTCTGTCAGAATGATCAAAAAATTGTAACTTTCCTTAACTAGTAATCCATAAATACTCTTTCCTGTTTCACCACTCTTCAGACATTTGTGCTATAAAGAAGCCTGAGGCTTTTCTTTAGGAATTTTTGCCTCCTAGCTTCTCTCTTGCTTCTTTCAGTCATCTCCCTGTGGCCTATGGATTTTCGTTTGCTGTTTTCTTAGTTCTCTACAATTCCTTATTTGAAAAATAATGAAGACGTGAGCATTGGACCATGTCCAACAGAAAGAATTAGTGAATCTGTTTTACAAAGCACATAAGCTTGCTTATTCATTTATTCATTCAACAAACACTAATCGATCATCTCCTAATGCCATATACTGTATTAGGCACAAGAATAGAATTGAGAGACAAAGTCTATTCCTTAGTGTCATCCATAGTAGTAACATGTGGTGAGAGCTATGAATACTCAGAGCTAACTCAGCCTGCAGCTTGAGAAGCTGAGTTTCTAAGGATATACATAGGAACCAGCCAAGTGGAGAAGAGTTAAGGCTGCTCCAGGGAAAGGGACCACATTAAGGTTAGAGAACATGGTGACACAGGAGAAATGTAAGCAGCTTATAATGACTGGCCCTCAGGGTACATGTAGGGAAGGGAGTGGGGAGAAATGCAGTTAGCTAGTGGGGTAGGCAGAAGCCAGATCATAAAAAGCCATAGCAGCAACTAAGAAATTTTCCCAAAGACTGTGAGATCCCATTTAAACTGGAATTGGTATAACCAGATTTTTATTTTAGAGAAATGACTCTTCCAGCTATCTAAAAAAACAATTGAAGGCGGTAGGATTACAGGTTAGACCAGATGTCTATTCTTGTTTGAGAGTGAGTGACCAAGAACAGTATCTTCTACAGAATTAAGATCACCACATGAACTGAAATGACCACTTTGTGTGTAGCTCCACCTTTAGCCTCTTTTGTTAATTCCCTTCTTCCTCACAGTCTTCCACCACAGGTATCCTTATTAATCCTACGGTGTACCTTGACTGGAGGGTTTCTCATGTAGTTGATATTTTGTTGCCATACAACTTATATTTAAATCCCATCATCTAGCTTGTCTTCCATTTGGGGCGTGGTAAACTGCCATGTACCTTTCGACCTCTCCATAAAAAAGAATTCATGAACTTTTGAGAGAAGTTGGTATTCCCAAAGCTAAAGCCAAACCCTTGAGACTGAGCTAGACTTGATCTAAGAAGAAAGACGTAAGTAAAAGAACTGTTATTTCAACTTGGAAGAAAAATATTGCCCTTGCATTTACTAGGCATTTCCATATTTACATTCAGACTGACTTATAGCTTCTAGATGAGTCTACTTGGCTCCTTTAATAGACCTTCCTGGGGTATGTCTTTAGCTTGGAGATTTTCTCAGGTCTTTAGTAACTGTTTGATATGCCCATCTCACCCTCCTCTTCATCCAAGAAGATTTAAAGTAAAAATGTGTAGCATAAATAACGTCTTAAATCTTATCCCAAGTATTTGATAGTGACAATACCAAGAGGCCATCTTGGGTCTTGGTTTCCTGCACTAAACAAGCAGATCAAGATTTATTATAGCATGTCCAACACTCCACAGGTCATAGACATTGAGTCATATCATATAAAATAAGTATTTTTAGATATCATTTTTAAGGAAAGGTCATAGCACTATGTAAAGGAACCAGAATTACCCTTCCTTTTATGGTTTAATCTATACTGGGAAGATTTTTTTTAATTAATCTGGAATTTGCCTTTGCATTTTCCATCTTTGACCAAAAATACAAAACCATGAAGGTACAAAGGCTGACTTTTAGGACTTCTCCCACTGGCTTCGGCTGGGCTCAGCAGGTCCAAGTGCAAAGCTGTGAGAAGGCAAAAGTGCTTTCTGAGATCTGCTTGGCAGTGGATATATCCCCTCTCCAATGAGGAACCACTGCAAATTATGAAGAAATTGTCATGGGAGCATACTAAGGATCAAAGAGTAATCATGCCTTAGAAATGGCATGTGTGAGAAAAGGCCCTACACATATTTAAAGAGGCTCCTGCCAGCACCTCCAAAAGCTACTGCCCTTGTAACCACAGAATGTTTGGCCACGTGGAGCCTGCAAGTCTCTTGTTCTTTCCAAGCCCTGACACACGACCATGAAGGAGCCAGGTGGCCCGGTTTGCCTGATAAGATGACTTTTTGGTTTGGTCTCTATTCTGATACCAGATGAGGCCCACCAGAGTATCCCATACCAAGGAAAATAAGTTTTCTGAAACAATGGGAATAAATATGATTATATTTCATTTTTATCAAAACAATGAATAATGATAACTTCAGTATTAAACACCATTAACATAAGTTTAAACAGAAGGAAATTTTAAGGCACCCTATTCCACGCTAGAATCAGATACTCTTTCCTGCTTTTGAGTGTTTGGTGAAGGATCTCATGATTTGAAGAAGGCAGAAGAGTTTGGGATGAGACCCCATCTAGCAAGGGTCATCTCTGAAACTGCCTGATTATCTGGTGGGAATGCTATCTCCTTGCTAAAAGCCTGTGGTTAGATTAATGCTAGCAGTTGAAAATCTGCTCTGGTCTGATGGTGGGCAGCCAGAGAAGGAATGTGTTTTCTGTTTATCTCTTTAGTGGCAGAAATATTCATCACAGAAAGACTCCGAGCTCCCAGTTTCAGGCAGGCCTAGAAGTTGTGCAGTCTGTAGTCTGTGAATGTACACACCAGCTCAGAATGATGAGAAAGAGCCAGGCCTGTGTTCACAGCCAGTTGCCTGCATTGGTTGATGGGTCAGTCAGTTCCTTCAGCTTGATAACAGGGGTAGATCCTGCCTCATTGTTCAGAGAGGAAGTTTTACCACCCCCATTGCTTTATCTCCCAGGAATGTAGTTTGAGCTGTGTCTCCTCCTTGACAGCTTGGACCTCAGTAAATTACCAGGGTCTTGACCCAAGAGATGGAGAAGTCCTAAGCGATTTTTTTTAGTCTCCTATCTAAAAATGTGTTTACATTTCTTGAACTCTGGCTGACTGATTCATTCTCCTGGTGTTGCAAGAACTTTCTTTATGCATTAGAATTTATAAGTTTCATTTCTAAGAAGCCCAAAGTTCCTTCCAAGCCACAGTGAAGTGAACCTCATCTCAATGCAATTCTGCTGGGCTGGGTTTGTCCAGAGGATGGATCACGGCCAAGCAGCTGTGATGTGGCAAGCACAAGTCAGGCTAATGGAGGGAGTGTGATGTGGAGGGAAAAGTATTAGATGCTATGTTGGGAGATCTGGGTTCAGGTTCTGGTCTTACACTGTTTCAAGGAACAGCCTTAAGCCAATCTCATGAAGCCACTCTCTGGACCTCAGTTCCCCCAGCTGTTTTAAAAAAGGAATGTTTTAAATCTGTCCTAAAGCCATTTCAAACCAGAAGAACAGGACAGCTGAAAAACAACAGAAAACGAAAGGTTGGCCCACAAGGAATGAGTAGAGGTTTCAGGTCAAAGAGACAAAGATGCCACAGGCTCTTAAAAGTAACAAGCATGGAAATAAGTTTTTGTTGGACACTCAACCCACACTAGAGACTAAAACCCTTGTTAGTGGAGCCATGTGCTTAGCTAAATCTGTTCCCCAAACAAACATTCCTTTATAAATATTAAATTTACTTGCTTAGGGATAAAAAGAAAAGCAAAATAAATTCTATCCTTTTGCAGCATGGGGTTTGAGTCTTGGGCTCAAATCCTTACTCAAAACCTCACTAGTGGTACAACCTTAGGTAGATTAGTTTACCTTTCAAGCCTCAGCTTCCACACCTGTGGAAAGCAGCGATAACTCAACCATGGAGGAAAGCCACACAGATTAACATCATCTGCGAGGCACCTGCTTTATGGAAAGTTCCATGATCTCCCACCAGCCCTACTTTGGCCTTTGCCTTTGTTTGCTTTATGTTTCCACTTCTTTTCTTTTTCTTTTTTTTTTTTTACTTTTTTTTAGTGTTTACTTATTTTTGATAGAGAGAGAGGGAGACCCAAAATCCGAAGCAGGCTCCAGGCTCTGAGCTGTCAGCACAGAGAGCAATGCGGGGCTCGAACCCACGAACCAAGAGATAATAACCTGAGCTGAGGAAGGACACTTAACCAAATGAGCCACCCAGGCGCCCCTTTATGTTTCCACTTCTGTTGCCCCTCCACATTATGAGGGAAAAGGGAAATCTCTGATCCCTCTATCTGGAAGGTTGCAGAAGCATTTTCTTCAGTGAAGTACAATCATACAAAATTTATATTCAACAGTATCAGCAGATTTTTTTTTCATCAATATTTCCTTTTTAATTTCAGCTGTATCTGAATTTTAGTAGCACAAAGAATTTACTTTTGTTCTTTTAAAAAGCAACCAAAACAAGAAAAATAGAAATTTGAGTGTAAGTTCTCAACACTATACTTAACATTGTATTTATACTGTGCTTATAGTGGGTCCAGGTGTCGTTTAGTGAGTAAATATGAATGCCATAGGTGTATGTGTGTTTATAACCCTATATACATGAACTAGGTGTGTTTGTATATAGTATATATAAAAATTAATGAGACCTAGATCTGACAGCTTTGATCCTTTTCTGATTTTCACCATAGCAAACAATGAATCCAGAACCTATCTTCACACGAATCTTAATGAAACCTCACCTTTGACCCAAAAGCCAGAGAAGCAGGTACAGTATTGACTCTGAATGAGCATGAGACTGGGAGGCTGGACTATTGGGTTCTTGCCTCAGCTTGCTGTGTGACCCTGGGTAAGTGTCTTCACCTCTCTGGGCCTCATTTGCCTCATCAGTAAAATGAGACAAATCGACTATAAAATCACAGAGGTTCCTTGGAATGTCTTAACTCAGCTTGGACTGTTTTGTGTGGCTCTTCATGTGCCTGAATAAGTTGAACAGGCCTCTCCCTGACTTCTACAAAGCCAAAAAGGGAAGAGGGAAAACAGAAAGGCAATAGCCACTCAGACTCTGTACTAAAGGGCCCATTTTTTCCCATCCAATTCTCATTCCTAATAGGGAGGGGAAAAAAAAATAACAATCAAGAAAAAAATGTAAGGCTACTGTGAAAAAAGGAGAAGTATGTTTCATCTGGATGGGTCAGAAATGTCTATTGGTGTTTCAAGGACATACATTCATAAGTATCAGTTTGTTACTTCATTTGAAGCTTTGAGGCTGGACTGTCTTCAAATTCACTCTAGAGAGACAACTCAGGAGGAATTCCTGGAGCTATACTCAGGGTCTCAGAGAACCTGAGGCAGAAACAGCGCAGTTCCAGGGCACGCTCAGGTCTCTCGACCTGCTGGGCCACAGCCTGAGCGGACAGAGGGGTGCATGATCTCTATTTCTCCCTTATCTCCAACTTCCTGCCACAGCCTGGCTTTCTCCTCTTTCCTCACATTTATTAAAAAACAATAATAATAAAAGTAGTTTTAGTTTCATGTGTGTGCCTAGCTGGGTTCTGAGAAAGGACCTGAACTCTCACTGTTAGAACCCCGGGCCGGGTCAGGCCTCCACTGAGGTAAAACACAGCTGAGCTGACCCTTCTTGCTACTGAGGAAACACTGAACCAATGTTTGCATTTTTTTTTTTTTTACATGCCTGCTTTGAAGACAGCCTTTATGAGGGATCTAGAAGGTTTTCTTTTTTAAGACAGTCTGTAACCAAGGAAAATATACCCTGCTATATTTTGATAATTCCACAATTCCAAAGGCCTTGCAGATGCCTCACTTACCCAAAACGCACTCCAAATTCACACAGCTCCCCTGGTTGTATTTCAGGAGACTAATATCGCCAGCAATAAAACAGTGGCTCAGTCACGTCAGATGAAGCCCTAGACTGAATTATTAGCCTTGCAGTCAGAAAGAGGAACACCAGGCCGAGGGTCTTAAACCCTAATCCTGGGTTTCCCCGGAGAAGCTGTGGCAAACCAGGTTACTGAGAACCTCGTGTGCCTTTTTTGTGAAAGGAGGGCCGTTCCTCCCAACACAACCGGTTGGTTTGTTCAAGTCACAGTGGTCTTACTTCCTTTAGAAGTAGCCCCCAAGAGGAAAGCCATTCGAGGAAAAGCCTAGGGAGCCCCACCAGCCCCTAAACACAGAGAAAATGGCAGGGGGCGGGGGAGACTGAGGAAGGTGGAGGCTGCTCCCATGCCTCCCCACCCCCTTACTTCTTGAGGCTAATGGCCCTTTATTAGATTAATCACTGACTTCAATTTTAACTACTTCCTCAACCTACTCCATGTAAATGACTAATTTCATGTTTACTGTAAAGCATCTGGAAAGGATTTAGAAACAAATTTCTGCCCAGCAGATTTCAGTTACGTACCTTGATGGGCCGCTGGCAAATCCAGTGGATTCCTTGCAGGGTTGCCTTCCCACTCTGAAGCAGGCTAGGATAGCACACAAAATTGATCTTTATCAGCATCAGCAGTTTCTACTTTTCTTTCCTTCCCATTAATTCCTCACTGAATTCGCCCTCTGCCTCCCCTCACTGGGGTCTGACCTTATTAGGAGTTCAGTCACATAAAGCACTTTTACTTTTTATCATTGCGCTAGCTGTGAGGAAAGAAAGAGAGAAAGAAAAAACCCAGAGGTGGAATATATGGGCATCCCCATGTTTCCACGAGAAGTCACAGACCTAGACGTGGAAAACAGTTTCTGACGCGTGGGTGAGAGGAAAAGCCAGCCGTGACCGGGTTCGTGGATTTAGCCCCTGGGCGCGGGAGGCTGCCTCCGGGCGCCCCCTAGCGGCTGCATTTGAAGCCTCGAAGGCTCATGTGCGTCTGTTCCGTGGAACCGAGCGGGAAGGACTGGGGCTCCGGCCTCCCACACGCGGGGTGGCAAATTGCGCGACTAGGTCCTGAGCCGCCCCTTCCACAGCCGGCCAAGGATCAGGGCCTCGAGGCAAATCCACAAGTAGAAATCGGAGTAGCAACGACATCAACAACTTCCTGGGAGTTGGAGGAGAGGGTTAAGCGGAAAGAGGGGGAAGAAACGACAAGGGGGAAATGTGCAGATGAAAAGAGCAGTGAAAAAAGAAAAAGGAGACAAGCAGACATGTTTCAACTCCAAGCTCCCATTTCCTCTTTCAAATGAACGGCCTCCCCACTGTGAACAGAATCAAGTATTTATGAAGGCATTTTTTGCATATTAATGGCTGCACACGGAGCATTGCCAGTTCTGAAGTCCTAAAGGTATGATGCCCTTTTTTTAATGCAGGTCCTTCAAACTCCTCACAGAATTTGGTATTCTCCTTCACATATATTTTCCTTTCTGCCTTGTGGCTTCTCCTCGGGTCTTTCATTTGATTAAGAGAAATGAGTTTCCACTATCGTCAGCGACCGAGTACTGCTCTTACCTCGGTGGCTGACATCAATCGCGAGAGAAGCTTCTCCTCTTCCCCAGGGCCTCTCTGTATAGAGGCTGCAGGTTGGGTGAGGTGACCAGCACCTAAAAAGAGTATTAAAATTGTAAATGAAAATACCAGCAGAAACGTTAACATATCTATGCTGGAGGGGCAGAAAAAGCAAAACTGAAAAAAAGAAAAGTTTTTTAAAAATTGCGTTAACTACAACAGCATTGCTATCTATACTTGATAAAGATTACATTAAATGTTAAAAGGAAAACATTGAGAACCAGTTAGAAAAATAAGTAAAAGACATAAACAATTTATATCAAAAATAATAGCAATAGAAAACAAGTATGGAAAATATTTATCCTGAGTAGCAATTTAAATGCAGATTGAGGGAAACTGGAGGTACCATTTTATATTTGAGGTGTATGCCTCCTCTCACTTTTTTTTTAATATTTTAAAGTTTATTTATTTATTTTGAGAGAGAGAGGAGAGAGAGAATCCCAAGCAGACTCTGTGAAGCCCAACAGGGGGCTCGATCTCACCAAATGTGAGATCATGACCTGAGCCAAAATCAAGTGTCAGAAGTTTAATAGACTGATCATCCTGGTGGCCCAAAGTTTTTTTTTAAGTTTGTTTGTTTGTTTGTTTGTTTGTTTGTTTGTTTGTTTTTAAGTAATCTCTACCCCCAAAGTGGGGCTCCAACTCAACTCCAAAATCAAGAGTCACATGCTCTTCCAACTGAGCCAGCCAGGTAGTCCATCCTCCCTTTTTTTTTTAATGGCAACACCCAGTACTATGTTTTGGTAAAACTGGTACACTTATACACTTCTGGTGAGTTGCAATTTGGTTCAATCCAGTTGTAAAGCAAAATGGCAGGCAATATAACTTGTGAAGCATGATAAAATATTGCTACTCATTTATTCAGTACTTCTGACGCCTAGGAATTTATCTTAAGGAAATAATTCAGCTGAAAATATGAGTGAAGATGTCCACTGCAGGATTATCTATAATAAGGAAAAATTGGAAACAGCCTCATAGTCCAACATCAAAGAAATGATTACATTAATTATGACATATCCCTCTCGGTGAAAGGTTTAATTCATTCATTAAAAATGATACTTGTTCATACTAGAAACTGTAATTTAATACTAACAGTTTAACACAAGGTTTCTCAACCTCCACCCCATGAACACTTTGGGCCAGATATTCTTTGTCATGGGGAGCTTTCCTATGGGTTGTAGGATGTTAAGCAGCATCCCTAGCCTTTACCCAGTGGATGCCAATAGCACAATCTCTCAGTTGTGACAATAAAAAATGTGTCCAGACCTTGCCGAAGTCCCCTGTAGGGGAAAATCACCCCTAGTTGAGAGCTATGGATTAAATTTTAAAAGTGGAAATCAATGTAATTATTAACTAGAACTGCAACCATGTAAAAAAATAGAAAATTTTCCTGGAGAAATTCAGTGCCATGCCTTTGGGAATGAGTAACAAAAGGTAGGGAGTAAAGCCTACTTCTCTGGACAGGGAGATGCAGACAGCTAATTCTCTTAGAAATCAGTGCTGGGCCCAATCTCACTTATTAGCTTCAAAAATATCTCCAAGAAGGACGCCTAGTGACATCTTCAATCTGCAAGGAAAAGACTTGCAAATAATGCATGCAAAAAATTTCTGTCATGCTAATTTGAAATTAGGGCCGTGTTGAGTTGAGGTTTTTTTAGTTTGTCTTATTTTTCACTATTATTCATTTTTCTTTCAAAATCCTCCCTGTAAGAAGGAAAAAGGAATCAAGAGGAAAGCTAGTTTTATTCACATCTGGCTTTAAATGATCTAGGAGTCACAGTAAACAACAAGTATACAGAAAGCTAAACAAGAGGCAATATCATAGTGCCATTATTTTTTAACTAACTGTTAAAATTATTTAGTTTTTACTAAATTGTTGGAGAGGGTCACCAGAATTCTTCTTCTAAGGATTTCAACCCCTTTTCACTGTTTTATCCCACTGACCCTAGACTCTGGGGGACAATGAATTTACCTCTTTTTCTGAAAAGTTTGGATCTCAAACTATGAAACTCTCTTGTCCACACAGATCTATCTATGTAAGCTTGGAGCAAGAAGGGTCCTTAGCCCAGTGGTTTATAGAGCTATCAGGGCAGAGAAGTTGTCAGTAAAGAGTATCAAAGTACAAGCTCAAACCTTAATTACATTTCCCAAGAATCATTGCATCTCTTTGTTTAAAATAAGAAAGAAACTACCTCACGAGTTTTCTCATTGTCAATTTTCTCCCTTTGTTAAGGAAAGCAAACATCCTTTCTTGCATG